TCCCAGCAATGTTCTAGAGGACTAATCAAATGCACTGTATCTTTTCTACATCTTTCTGTACTAGTAAGAGTTGCATCATTGCTGATACAAGATTTACTATAATACATTCACTTATTCTCCCTCTGCTGGCTGGCTCCATACTACCACATTCTGATAGACTAATACAATTACACGCCAGAGCTGAGGTTATGATCATTTAACAAGTACTTACTGAGCATTTTCTTATTATGTGTCATGCACTCAGTGGTGTCCTGAGTATACCACAATGAAGATGTGAGCCCTGACCAAATTTATCATCTAGTAGAGAAGGCAGACCATATATAAACCACTTATTCACCATGATTAAGTACTATAAAGGAAAACAGTGCTATGCTAGCAAATAAGGGGGGAGGAGTTCTATTTTAGGTAGTATGGTTAGGAAAGGCTTCTCTTAGGAGGCGACATTTAATGTGAAAGATCTGCATGGCATTAACGATTGACAAGAGGTAAATTTGAGACTGGAAAGTTTGTGAAGCCATGGAAAGGAGTCTGGACAGTATTTAACTGCAGTGGAAAGCAAATAATGCATTTCTAGCAGGGGAGTGATATAACTGAGTTTTAAAAAGATCGTAGAGGCAAGAAAGCAAGCAGGGAAATTTTAGGAGACATCCGATGGCTGCCTGGACTTGGGGTAACCGCGGCCACTGGCTTGTGCGAAAAAGCGACTGAGGGTGTCATTCTGTGATAAGACAGAGTAGACTGCAAAGCGGTTGAGAAGCCAAGAGGATGATTCAGTATTTAAGTGAAAAACAAATCATGGCTTTCACGATTTCTTGCTGTGAATCGCCAGGACCAGGGCAGGACACGCTCCCGAAGTGGAAATCTTCGGTTGTAGCCTCAGGTACAAAACAGCCCAAGAGAAAAGCCGAACACCAGTCCTTGCTCTCCTACTTCGGTACCATCAGGCGCAGTGTCTGGAACGAACTGCGGCTCCGCCGAGGACCAGCTACAAGCCCCAGCGAGCGCGGAAAAGACTAGGCAGAGGAGGGGCTGACACCCCAAACTAAATGTGGGGTCGCCTGGCCATACTTCTGTTATTGGTGCACCGTAAACCCTCAGCCCATCCAATTCACCTCCACACAGAAAAACACCTTCATCCCCGGAAGTACCGCCCACTGCACTCACTTCCGCTAGCCAAGGCGTCTGCTCATCTCGCGAGAACTGAAAGCGCCTATGTGAACGGGACTAAGCGGAAGTCGGGCCTCTTTTTCGTGGCGCCTCGGAGGCGACCAGCTGCTTCAGGATGAAGGTAGGAAGTGGCGCCGGGTGCTGTGCTAGGCTTGAGGAACGCGTATCGAGTCCCAGACGCGGACTTGCCGCAGTCTCAGCACTTCAAGATCCTGGCCCTAGGTGGAGAAGGGTCTGAAGCAGGAGAAACTTTGTCCTCCTGGGGTCGAAGCTCCTTCGGGGAGCGGATGGCGGGCGATTGCTGCTGGAGCTGTACCCGGCGGGGAGCGCCATGGTGGCGTCCCCCGGACGTGCTGCCCAGTTTGCGGCAGCCCTGTCGTGCGCGCCTTCAGTCTCGCTGCTTAGGTCGGCCTCCCTGCTCCGGACGGTGAACGATTGCGGAGCGCGGTCGTCCCCGGAGTCCTTCCGCGGGGCTTGAAGGAAAGCCCTTGAACGCGGTGCGTGTTGAGCGTTACCATGCTTTCATGTGCTTTCAGTGACTAAAAGCGGCGTCTCACGTTTTCTGCTGATTGTGTAGGTGACACGAAAGGCTTTTTGCAATGGAATTACCTCTGTAGGTGGTTATACAAATACTTGTGTAGATAGTTTGCTAAGCTTATTTTCTTCTTTTAATCCTTAGCTGAATATCTCCTTCCCAGCCACTGGCTGCCAGAAACTCATTGAAGTGGACGATGAACGCAAACTTCGTACTTTCTATGAGAAGCGTATGGCCACGGAAGTTGCTGCCGACGCGCTGGGTGAAGAATGGAAGG